GCCCTCTCAACACCCAGCCCGCCTCCCTCAGAAATGACCCCAAACCCTCCCAGCTCCGCGCTCCCCTCCATGTCCCCCGACCCTTCAGTCTCCCGGTCCCAGCCCCGGTCACTCACTCCCTACTCCCGCCGCCGCTGTCAACAACTCGCCACGCTTTACGGTGCCGCTGTCGTAAAAGCCACCACCACCGTCGTAGCAGCGTTTCGCTTGACGGCGGCGCGGGGCGACTACAAGTCCCGGCGGGGCCCGCGCTGCGCATGCGCACGGGGAGCCGCGGAAAAGGCGGGAAAAGCGTGAGGTGAGGGAGGGGGGAAGATGGCGCCTCCCCTGGAGGCCTGGTGTGGCTTGGGGGGGGAAATGGGCGAAATCCCACGTTTTTCACCTCAGAACTAGAGGGTTTTTTTTCTCTAGCAGCGGCCACAGCTCGGAGGGGGCGGCAGGGGCTGGCTCTGGGAGGCGAACGGCTGCTGGCTCCGGCGGTGCAACAGGGGCAGGTTCAGCCCTGAGGGCAAAACCCCGCAGGAAGAGGTAGTGAGAGGCTGCTCGCTCAGCGCCGTTCTGGTTCTGTTCTCCCCACGCAGGCGGGCGGCGGGATGGGCAAACGGAGAAAGGAGCAGCCACCAGGTAACAGCAGGAGGGCAGAGGGGTGAAGGGACAGGGGTGGTGAAGGGACGGTGTCCCCTGCCCCTCCCTGTGAGGTAGCGGCTGCCCAGGAGCCCCAGCCTGCCCCGTATTTCCGTATGTCACTCCTTATATTCTGTGGTAACAACTGCTCCTGAAACCACCCATGCTCTTACTTATGACAAGCCTGAAAAAAACGTCCTAGTTTGTAAGCAAGGTGACACCCAGTGTTTACCTTTTTCCGCACCTCTTTCATCAAACTCCCTCAGACCATGCACTGCCTGGGGGGATTTCCCCAAACGGCCCCTCATCTCGCTACAAGTCTGCAGAGAATATGGGTTATTACGGGGATAAGCCCCTCGTGCCACAACCCCCTTTTTTTTTTTAACGTTTTAGAGAAGAAGGGGTGGGTGGAACAGAGCTGACACCCTGCAAAAAGCCCTAAAAGCAATTCTTTTTGCCTCAGTTCAAGTGTTAAAAGTGTGTGGGGTTTTTTCATAAGATTTAATAACAAAAAATAAGAAAAAACCTGTACAAAGGCTGTCCTTGTTTAACATGACACTGCATCCCTCCTACCCCAAAGGCCAAATCTAAGGATTTTTTTTCCCCTTAAAGGTGCAGACAGTAAATGCCCCAATCCCAAAACTAAACGAAATCTTCAGGGAAATTTGGATGTAACAGGAAACAACAGTTTAGATGTGACCAGACTGGCTCAGAGCAGTGATGCCGATGGAAAACCAACATTCCAGGGACAGACGCTCTGTGGCAGCACTGGCAGCGCCATGACAGACCCACTGGGGAGGTAATGGGGTGAGAAACTGGCAGGAGGGGGTTTGTGGGTGAACCCGGCTCCCCGCTGTGACTTACCCGGCGATCGCCTCGCCGCTCGCTGAACACATTTCGTTGTTTTTAACAGCACAAGCGGCGCCGGGGAGGCGGCTGCGCTGGAGCAAAGCGGGGCAGGGGAACATGTCCCCAGCCCCTCACTGCAGGTACGTGCTGGGCCCGGACACCACCTGGAGCTCCCGGCTCTCACTGAAACACTCGGGTGTCAGAAATGCCCTTCGTGGCACAGCCAGAGCCTCTGCGGCACTGCTATTCCCCTCTGTCAGCAAACAGCCTTCGGTATTTACACCGATCCAGAGATTGGGATTTTTTTTTAACAAGCCAGCACCTTGTCATTTCAGGAAGGAAGAGACATGGCCATCGGTGGAGGTGGCAGATCGCCGGAGGTGGCTTCCCCGGGAGCAGCGTCTCAGCCAGCGTCACCACAATGGGCGAATTTGGTGGTGGATGAGACAGAAGAGGATCAGCCGGCAGCGACCGCAGAGCGGCACAGAAGCACCAGGGAGGAGCTGGACGCCGCAACCCCAACTCGCCGTGGAACAGCTGATATCGGTGACGGCCCTGAGCGCAGCTCCACTCCACCAGCATGGGGAGAGGGGGCTGCTGGCAGCGAGGATGCTCCCCCCGCAGCTACACCAAGCCCAGGCACCGGCAGCTGCCCGTCGGCGGAGGGGCCTGACCCACCCCAGGGAGAGGGGGATGACCATGGCGAGCGCCGAGGTGACTCCAGACAGAGCCAGGAGCTGCTGCGTGCGTCTGTTGTAAACGC